CGATTAAGTGGACAGATGATAATAGAGTTGGTAAATAGAAAAGTTTTTGCTTAGTATTGTTTTGCTTGAAACCGATAAGCAGAAAGCATGTTTTTGAGAAAGCGTGATAACGGTTCTGTGGCTGGTACAGCTTGATACCAGACAATGTTAACCTCTTGTGCCCCCGGTTCAAACGCATTTGCTTTCAACTTTTTTTCCTGTGAAAACTTTCAAAAATAAAAAATAAATAAAATAAAATAAAAACAGAGAAATTAAACAGTACTGAAGAGCGATTTGAAAAAAAAAACTCTAACTAATTGTGGCATTATAATTTAGTTTGAATGAAATAACAGTTTTTTCAGAAAACAGCAATTGAAAGTTTAATTCTGTTAGAATGCTTTTGATAATATTTTCAAAAATATGCATAACTTGGGCAGTATCACTTTGACAATGCAGCAAAACACAGTGTTTATTTAAATCCGGAATTTGACACTGTCAGGTTTTAAACTGTTTTCTACATAGTTTTTTCCTCTTTCTTTGCCCAAGCACCTCCTTCAAATCCAAGTTTCTTGTTTATTATGGTCACTAAAGTTCAACGTCATGAAATAGTGAAATTAAGTGTCGCTTACAATTGTTCACGCAGTATTTGCAGCAGGAAGATTTGAAAAACTTTGACACTTGTACTTCGCTTAGCAATTCATCTGATTATTTTGGGCTGCATTTTAATTAAAATTTATTTCTTTTCTTGCTTGCGACAACCACTTCCTTGTCTCAATTTTTTGATTATTTTTTTTAATATCTGATTTTAAATAAATTTAACGTGGCAAAAAGGCAAATCATTAAATAATTATAAATAATTACAAAGTATTGTGATGTCATATAACAGAAGAATAAACAGAAACACATGAATGTTAAACACTTTTGCAAATAACACTTTGATAGTTTCAATACATATGCACTGTACTTTATGCCAACCTGGCAGACTTACAGAATAAAAATATATACCCAGTTGAAACAGTAACCTATGCAACAGATCTAAACAGAAGTTGTAAACTTTTTTTTTTTGCTCTTTGCCTTGCACTTTAAAACAGCTAAATTTCTAGTAAAAAAAATATCTTTTTTTTTGCAGCTACATCAAGTGAAAAACGAGAAAAACAATAAGTTCAGTGAAAATGAGCATAAAAAATTGTTCCCTATCAACTATAAACTATCAGTCAACGATCAGATCGGTTATTTTCACAAACAACAGCACCAAACAACAACGAAAAACAGCATTTATTCAAAATTTCACTATTTCAATGTAATTTTTCTTACTATCTTAATACCAAAAAAAAGGACTTCTCAAGAAGAGAACAAAAGAAAAAATACAAGTAACTTGGCGCTTAATTCCAATTGTTTTTTCTCATTTTTAACCTTTAAGAAAAAAAAAAAACTAAATTTAAATCTTAAAAATGTTATGCGCTGAATTATTTATTAACAAATTTCAATCTATTCCACCTTGCCGCTTATTTATTACTATGCTTTATTAACAGATATTAAACAGTTTTTTTTTTTAAGTGTCGCTGTTGCTGTGCATTTGCATGTATTTTAAAGAAAACGAAAATAAAACTAGACAAAATAAAGACAATACGATAAAGAGGTCTTTGAGAACTGTAACAAAATTATCTATCCGATTATTAGCAAATACTTGAGATCAATGACAATTAAACAATACTTTCTGAAGAGCACACACTCACATAAAAACACATATAAAAACACACACGCACACACAGACACCCAAAAATGACGAATGTAATTTACATCAAAAATATCCTGTTTCAAATTTCTGTCTAAACAGTCACTTCAAATCTTATCTGATATATCGAAAACTGTCTTGAAACTGTAAGCAACAATAGATATCTTTTTGCTGTTTTGCCAAAAACACATACAAATGACATACATTCTACAGGAGCTATTAAATGAAATACGAAAAAATGATGAGAACAGAGCAAAAGATTCACCTGTGTACCAACCAAATGGTGCTTTGGTTTAAAATCTGATCAGTGTTTGCAATTGTTGCTTGATTCAATTCAGGAAAAAATAGCAACAAAAAACTGACAAACTGTGGCAGTAGATCTGGAAAAATAAAAGGAGAAAAAAAGAAGGAAAAAGAAAATTTAGCTGCCCTAAAGTACTTGTAGAATAAATATCTGAATCATTATTTGTTTGTTCTTTTTTTTCTTTTTTTTTTTCTTTTCTGATTTTTGCGTTTTAAATAAACAGTTTATGCACTATTAAAACAAAAAACAAAAAAAAGTTAAAAATTAAAAATGAACAATTAGACAATTAAACATTATTAGAAAGACCATATGTCGCTATATTGCATAAAGTTAGAAGTTAAAAAAGCGATATATAATACATAAGATATCACATGCAGAAGAAAAAAAAATAATATTTATAGAATAGGTGCGTCACGAAAAAAAT